ATTTTTCAACAATTAGAAAAAAACTATAAAATTTTTTTTTTTTTTTTTTTTTTTTTTTTTTTTTTTTTTTTTTTTTTTTTTTTTCTCTCTCGTATTTGTTGTAAATTAAAAGTTAGACTAAATATCATGCTCGTCAAAACACTTACCGAACTAAAAATTTCCACCAGTTTTTTTGTAATTGCTCAGCAATAAGCGTTGTTGCTTCGGACCTATTCGGAAACCAAAGAGCTACTCAAGTTTCAATTTTTGAAAGTTATCCACACTTGTAGTCTTCGACGCACGAGGTATCGTTATGACGTTATAATGGGTACGTGTGAATAATATATGTTTAAAAGGTACATATATCTACAAAATTACTTTTAAATGACGATTTAGAACCCTACGTTATGCCTAATCGCGGTGTTGCGTTTTAGGGAAACTCTGGGAGTACTTGCGTGGAGTTTTTTTGGAAACTTCGGCCAGTAGCGATAATTACTACTTATTTTACTTATTTATAATTTTATTTGACATTTCAGACTTGTATATATATATATATATATATATATATACTCATCGTTAAACACCTGCCATCTGAAATATTGTTAACGTTTCCTTTCTTGGTAATTAAGTAATATAATTATATTATAGTATATATTGTATTACTATATTTCTCTCTGAATTTACAAGGGTAAAAGTGTCGTATTTTCTTCTGGGTGAAAAATTAAGAGAAGTGTATTATTAGCTCTTCGATTTGTAAGAAAACTAATGTACTGTATAGTTATAACGTTGATTATCAATCCATAATTACGTGTTGTTACTGCATATAATTATATAGCATACGTTTTGTCGTCCCACTATTTACTTTAAAATTGTATTTCAATATTAATTACTGCTTTGGAACCTGTGCATTTTGTTCATTCACTTAGCCACTTTACAATCATATACTTATTTTAACATAGATGATACCTAATTAAACTTATCAATACGACTATGCCGTTCGAAGTTGTTGTCTCGCGTACCTATACAAAAGTTTTGGTCAATTTCGACCTTGTCTGTATCTGTAATGACCCTTGGGTTTACTACTTGCATGTACAGGTACGTAAACTGCACAGGTAATTATATTCTTTTAGTATCTAATATTAATAGATATTTTACAATATAGTTAAAGTTTTTGTGTTTTGTAAATCTTCTCCCGTTCGCATAGCTTTTTTTCTCCCAGGTTACTGAAATTAAAGTTCCTTTTTTTTATTTTATTTTTTTTATACTTGCTTAATTAGTAAATGTACGTTTTACTGTCACTTGATATTTAAATAACAGACAGATGAGCAAAAAGCGTACAACTTAATATAGGTAGATTGGCTAATTTCGTATTAGGTGCAATCCCATTGGTGGATACATTGCGCTGTGTCACACACGTGTTACGTTTTGTGTGTACCAGTACCCAGTACAACAGCGCACAACTGTTGGCCCCCTGTCCCCACCTATAGCTACTTCATTCATATATATATCACACACGCACATATTTATACGTATGTATATAGCTCAGTTTTGTTTTTGTCGTATAGGTATAATACACAGCAGACAAAGTCAATCATCCGATCAGGGCCCCCGCTCAGTCGCTCCTCGCCCTTTTTTCCTCTACTCATTCTCTTGTTATACTTACTTTTGCATATATGTATATGTGTATATAATACTTGCATATTTGATTTTGATGTATATGTGTGTGTTTGTCCACGTGTTTGGTCTTTTGCAGTAGACTTGTTAGTTGTTCTCTGAAATGTCGATAACATGCGATTCACTGCAGTGTTGTGATGTGATGACCAGGCCAATTCCAGCTCAGTTTCGATTTTGACGGCATCGGCGACGTTAAGTGTTATAACTTTGAGCAATAATTATACTCTTACTGAACCCAAACAAGGAATTGCAGTACTCTTTGAATTGATCGAATTATTTTTAATCAATACAAAAATAGTCATTTCACGTCCGGAAGCATTAAAAAATATGTACTATGTTTCAATAAGTCACTGACACATATATACTTAATCAAGTATAACAAGTTTTAAGTTCTCAGACTCAATATATATATAAAGTGGAAATTGTACGAGCTATGCGCTTATTGGGACTGACAGTTTTTGTCACTGTACTCATTTGCTACGTTTCATTGATTGAAACTTTTCGTTTTAGAGGAAAACAAAGATCACCTGTTATTTTCAGTAAGTATAATGACACGATTTCAAGTATTTTAAATCATTCTTTTAGCGAGGAAACTTCTCGAAGATAATTCTGGGTAGGTACACTTTTTGTTGTACAATATTTAGACAAAACATGGGCACGTATAATCTTAGTGTAGGAGTGTACGATGTTTAAAAAAAATATTCAAACAGCACTACATGATATTATACACTATACTTATTTGTGGCCAATATATCTAAGTATAAGTATAAGCTTGACGCGATTAAATTGAATGACATGAGCATGGATATAGACCATAATAATGTAGTTCAGTACCATCAATTTATGCTAAATAGGCGTTCTTAATAAAAAACAGAATAAAGCCTGGCTGAAGGGCCTGTTTCATTCATTCTCACGCTATACAAAGCTAAAACGCTCGAAACTTTACGTTTGGTTGAACTTTTTTTAGTGTGAGCATGAAAAGGCCCCCCTTCAAATCTACATCAGGCATTTTCGTGAGAGCAAAAACAAAAAACTATTTAAAATTAGTTAAAGAAAATTTAATTAAGTATTTAAGAAATACTGACATATGTTCTAATCATACTTTTTTCTATAGGGAAACAGCTTTTATAACAAATTTATGTATACCTACTGATAATTGAAATTCATAAATTTTGCGTAGGTACAAGAAAAAATGGAGGACGTTTTTCATTCAAAAAAATTATCAAAATTTTTTATCGGTACCTCAACTTTCTTTATAGAAGAATTTTTTTTTATACACTTCAATGTATGAAGGTTTTTCGTCAAACTGCCAAATAGTACTTTTTAATCAAAAGTATCGATATGCAGGCCGAGCGGCGGCGTAACAATAATGCCTTCGAATATTGCGATATCATTAACGCAACTTAAACTCTACACAAACAAGAATTTAAGAAAAAATTTTTTTTTTAATTTCAGTTCCAGGTGATGGTGGTAATCAGTTGGAGGCGTCACTCAATAAAACTACAGCTGTTCATTACCTTTGCGAAAAAGTATCCAATGGATTCTTCAATATTTGGCTAAATTTGGAACTTTTGGTTCCAATTATTATAGATTGTTGGGTAAATATTTTTTGCACGTTATCGAAACGTGGTTGATTACTTGTGTCTTGCTATACATGTCTTTTACAATTTCGTAATCGTATTGTATTGCAACTTTGAAAAAGGAAAATAAAAAAATACATTTACTTTTTGAAATAAAATCATCATTCAATACGCTCATACGCGCACGTACGTATATTGTTAGTTTATTTTAAATGTACATGCACCAATTAATTGGTGTGTGAGCTTACAACTAGCTGCAGTATAATGGATGCAAATTTATCAAAAAAAATAAATTAAAAAAATGTATAAATTTTCAGATTGACAATATGAAGCTCATTTATGACAATGAAACACGAGAAACAAAAAATCCTGATGGTGTAGACATCAGAGTAGCAGGTTGGGGTGACCCTTTTGTAGTGGAGTACTTAGATCCCAGCCGAGCATCCCCTGGCTCTTATTTCAATAACATTGGGAACATGCTTGTAACTAAACTGGGCTATGTACGAAATGTTTCCTTAAAAGGTGCACCTTACGATTTCAGAAAAGGACCAAGTAATATTCTGTCATGAGCTATTATAAATTAAAAAAAAAAAAAAAAAAAAAACATACATACTTATCCAATTAATGAAAATACATTTTAAACTCTATAGATGAAAATGAAGAATATTTCATCCTTCTGAAAGCTCTCATTGAAGAAACTTATACAAACAATAACAATTCAGCTGTTACATTAATAGCTCATAGCATGGGAGGACCAATGTCATTATTATTTTTACAGCGTCAAACACAATTGTGGAAAAATAAATACATTAGTTCTTTGATAACACTTGCTGGTGCTTGGGGAGGATCTGTAAAGGCTCTTAAAGTATTTGCCATTGGAGATGATTTGGGCGCATTGCTACTGAGAGGAAAAATTCTAAAAGACCAGCAAATAACTAGTCCAAGTTTGGGTTGGTTACTGCCATCAAAATTATTTTGGAAGAATGATGAGGTGCTTGTAGAAACTCAGCTGAAAAATTATACATTTGCTGATATGAGAGAATATTTAATGTAAGTTGTGCAATATTTAGTGATCATTGAATGAACTTTTTATAAAATGGATAATTAATTTAATAATTTACAGAGATATCAATGTGCCAAATGCTTGGGAGTTTCGAAAAGATAACGAGAAATACCAACTAGATTTTAGGGCACCAGGAGTAGAGTTACATTGTTTGCATGGAGAAAAAGTACAAACTGTTGAAAAGTAGGTTGAACATGCAATTGTATTTGTAACGGCAGGAATTCAGAAAAAAAATTATTTACATGAAATGTGACTATTACATTACAGATTGCTGTATAAAGCTGGAGTAGCGATCGATGGTTCTCCAGAATTAGTTCCTGGAGACGGAGACGGCACTGTTAATCAAAGAAGCTTGGAAGGTTGCACTCATTGGAAAGGACAACAAAAACAGAAAATTTACCATCAACCGTTTCCTGGAGTGGACCATATGAAAATTTTAAGTGACGCGGGTGTTATTGATTACGTTAGAAAAGTTCTAGATTTTAATTAAGTGGCACATGTTACCATGCAATTTTTTTTGCAAAAGGCTGTAATGACTTGGAATTTTTTTTCACTGTGTAATGATTCTTTAAGACTTGGTGTACATAAATTTTACGTTTGGTGTTAAGAAAAATTAACAATCCAGCATACAACGATAAAGATGTATTCCATGAAAAAAAGGGGTATCCTCGTGACATGTAATACCCTTGCAATTTATTTTAAACGTTTTAGCATTTTTTGTATATACAGTTTACCTGAACAGCAAATGTATTTCTTAACCGAAAAGTAGTGCGTTACGTTATGATTGTAGAAAATTGTTCCTACCTGTAAAAAGAAACTAAAGTTTAGTATAATGTACGCAATAATATGTTTTTACGAAAACAAATTTTTAATAAACAATAAATACTTTTATGCTAGTTTTTCGTACATTGACAATAATCCAGGGTAAAGTTAATATGTGTACATTGTTCACAGAATATATTATTTTGAATTTGTGTCTTATGTACATAAAAAGTTTGTAGCACTACTTCCACAACAGTACTGTCTTGATACACATACCAAAGAATGTGATGTATAAGTGGAAGTAACAAATTAAACCTCCAGTCAGTGCTCATTTCAACTGAACACGATATAAAGGCAGCAGAGGAATGCTCATGGTTTTAGCTACAACATTTATCACACAACGGCTCTTACACATACCTCTTAAAATAGACCATTAATAACATTTTAAGACTTTAATAGAAACAACTAAGATTCGTGTAAAATTTTTAAAACAAAAACATTCCATAATAAAATGTAAAAAAATATATATTATTTAAACTTGAATAATTCGAGTTTTTTCTGATAATGATTTGCAATATTTTTAAAGGTGCACGGTAAATTTTAATATAAAAAAAAAATAAATAAATAAATGGAATTTTCAATTAAAAATAAGACGGTTTAAAAAAAATAATAATTCAACTAATGTCAGTTGAGCCCTGATGAGCTTTTTAGGAAAGCATACAGACCGAGGGCTAAAATAGTAACAACTGTGATAGTTTTGTAACTTTTTAGACGGTATGGAATTTTTGGCGGTGCATGCTGAACTACTTTCAATTTTCGCAGTCTTTCACGCTCTTGACGACATGCTTCAGCTTTCATTTTCCACTCCTGCTCCTTGCACCTTCTGCGCTGATCAAAATCTTTAACGGCATTATCTATCGATTCAGGTGGATACTGATGATATAACGTTGTGGATTGATGTAACAATCCTTCAAATGGCAAGTTATCTGGTAACTAAAAAGTTGAATACTTTTATGATACTTGGAAACACAGAAAAATTTGTACTAAATTTTATTGAGTAAGAAATTATACTTACTGTACTAAGAACCTTATGAGTATGGCCCATGTCGGGTGTTGTATCAAAAATTTCCTTGTCTCTGTAAGAAACAATTTTGGTACTCAAGTATAAAGGAATCAATGGTGGGCTTCCCAAAAAGTAATCAAACAGTCTATGAAGTAATTTCCTATTTTCCGCGTACTTGTGAGCATACCACGTTGTGTACTCTGCGAGAGCAAAATGTGGAAATAATTCTACACTGTAAATAATAATAATACGTAGTTTGTCTTTAAGCTTGACAAAAATTTTTTAGAAGCATATGAATGACATTCATACTTTTCTAAATGTTCCAAGAGTTTTGGATGATCTCTGTCTAGAAGAGCAAATATATAAAATAATTCTTGGTTAACTTTTTCCATGGTTTTCTCCATAAATCTTTCAAAATAAGTTGTGGTCAACTTTTCTAAGGTGTGCAAACCCTGTTGCAAGCCCATGACTAGTAATACGGTAGCAGCTACATCGTTGTAACCTTGATAATAACTAAAAATGTTGATTCAAAATTTGATAAGAAAATTTATGGTGCTGTTATTGGAAAAGCTATGATAATCTCATATTTACTTCAAGTCTGAGTGCCTCGAGAGAACCCAACATATTATCTGTGTTAATTCCTTCTGGAACGTTTCAATAACATCCTCCGAGGCATCTTCAGGCATATGGCCCCTACTACGAGCTACATCTTTTAATATCTGTTGATATACATCATTATCTATGAGATTATGAATATTTTCTAGATTATTCACCATCTCAAATTTCTGCATGTCTGGTAACCTTAATAGCTTTGGCCAGAGCACCTTTCTTACATCGTCTGTGAGATAATTTTTTTTTGTTTTTTTGTTTTTTGTTTTCTTATTATTACTGGAAAAACTATTCAACATCCATAGTTTCAACTTACCACGAACCAATCCTTCACTACTTCTACCAAGGCGTTTTAAATCAGAGTACGTTAAATTTGATTTAGCCAGTGTTCCTTTGACTACAATTAGTTTTAGCCTCTCCAAGTCTGTGAAAATAATAAAGGAATAAAAATTTTCATTTTCAACAATCAGAAAGCATACATGCTGACTCAATTAATTACCTGTTGAATGCAAATGTGCAGGAATCGAAATTTCAGGTACAATCTCATTCTCCCATACTAAATCCGAATCTGACATATTAATCAAAGGAATGCTTTCACAAGAGAACTTTCTACATGCCCACTACTGTTGTACTGTACTATTCAATCGTCGTTTTACTGCAAATCCATACACAATGAAGTTGACAGATAACTAATAATCATCTGTGCGTGTGTGGGGATTGTGTGGAGTGGATTTACAATGCTACTTTAATTCCAGACCTGTTTTTCCCCTGTAAAAAACGATCATTTGTGATTTACCACACATATTACACTACGCGTTGCAAAAATAAACAAGTAGAAAGAAGAACTAACGCACGTATAGGATGGACTGGAATACGTAGAGAGGAAAGGTGTCAACTCCAACCCCTTCTCAAGGAATAGTCAAGTCCTGAGCTCTGTCCAATTGTCCGGATAGTAGATCAGTTGTATAGCCGTCGTACCAATATGACAATCTTGCCATACCTTTCTTGCGTTTTCTGCACCCCAAAGATACTTTACACGTAATAAAAACAGTAATCTCTGTTTATGCGCCAAGTATTTACATAACCTAATTGGTCCCCCAAAGTCTTTTTTCTTTCTCCACTTATTTTGGGGAAAGCTTAGCTTTTCCTGCAAGGATCCACGATGACGATTCCACGATTTTCACGAAAACTTGCGCGCGCGTATCACGCTCAGAAAATGCATCGAGATTGATAAATTGTAAAAATTAACTGTAAGACAGGTGTACTTAGCTCATGCGCGGGGGAACTGTCAGGCATGGGCATGACACTTGTAAACAGTGTAAACCTGTAGCCATGCAAGTAGGTAATAGTAGGACCTACTTACTAAGTAGGTACACGAGAAAACTCTGCACGAGGTGACTCTATAATATAATTGGTTGTGTTCGGCCCAGCGACTCGGAGCTCGGAGCTCGGAGCACGGGAGCAAGTGAGCAACTGCGAGTACTTTACTTACCCCTCAGGGCAGACTGTGCCGTGACGCCCGTGTGACTGCAATTGCAAATTGCACACTACACCTATACTAGGTACCTACTACCAACTAACCATATACTATACTACTATAGTCACCACAATCGTATACTTGGTGCGCGTCAATTTTCCTATACGCAGCTATACAAGTACGGCTGTCACCGTGTGTTAACGTCTTTAACAATAATAATAATAATAATAATAATAATAACAATAATAATAACAATAATAACAATATGTTATTTTGGCTGGTGTAGCGCTTTTACTAGGCTATCAGGCATATTATATATGAAGGTAAGATGCCATGAGGAGTTTCAAAAAAAGAGGTAATCGCGGTATCGCGCCGCTCATTGTTTACGTCCTACCCTATTTTTAGGTTTCGAGGTACCGAAATAGATTGGCTCTATCATCATCGTCGTCGTCGTCGTCGTCGTCGTCGTCGTCATCGTCATCGTTGGAGCAAGGAGCTTGGAGAGGAGAAAACTCTACTGCTCTCCGTGCTCGTGCTCGCGGTAATGTAGGACTATAATTTTTTACACCAAATCGAATTACCACTAGCAGTCACCCTGGAGTCCGAGAAGATCAACGCTAACCAGCAAAAGGGGGCCATGGTAGTTCCCTACGACTGGCAAACGACAAAGCGCCATGTTGCCCAAAGATGCCAGTACCTGCTCGAAATGGGCCAGTGGTATGTGCCAGAGTGCTTTATTTACCTTGATGGTTGTAACATAAAATCACTCTTGATAATTTTCACCTCTAGGTCCGACTGTCGGTTCAAAGTCGGCCAAGAGCCGAACCAGCAGATCGTAGATGGACACAAAGTTTTCCTGGCCATGTCCAGTCCTGTGTTTGAGGCAATGTTTTACGGAGGCATGGCTGAAAAAAACGATCCTATTCCCATCAGAGATGTTCAGCCAGAAGCCTTTAAAGCATTACTCGAGTACATTTACACGGATAAAGTAAATCTAGGCTCCTTTGAGCTGGCCTGCGAACTGTGTTACTGCGCCAAGAAGTACATGCTACCATTTCTGGTCAAAGAATGCACAGAATACTTGTGGTCCGATTTGTCGCCCAAAAAAGCTTGCAGAGCTTACGAATTTGCTAAATTGTTCGAAGAGCCTGTTTTAATGGATAAATGCTTGCACATTATGCGCACAAGAACTAAAGAAGTGATCAACGAATCAAGTTGGGATGACGTTGAACAGGCAACTGTTTTGACTCTTTTGGATCAAGATGCATTGGACATAAACTCTGAAATAGATTTATTCAATGCTGTTGAAAAGTGGGCTAAAGCCGAGTGCACCAGAAAATCGTTGGATTTGTCTGAGGCTAAGTCTCTGAGATCTGTCATTGGAAATGCTTTGACTAAAATTAGATATCTCACTTTGAGTCCGCAAGAATTTGCAGAGGGACCTGGAAAATCTCCATTGTTAACGCAACAAGAAGCTTTTGCACTTTTGATGAACGTTTCTTCTCGAAATAGTGAAATTCCAATGCCTGAGGGATTTTCCACAAATACACAGAGAAGATTTAGTTTACTGGTCATGAAAGTGTTGAATCCTGATTTTTCTGTAAGCTGATTTGAGTTGCTAATTTTAACAATTATTGTTACAAAATAACCAATTACCATTGTTTCTAGAAGAAGAGAGCTCAGCCAAAAACTATGTTTGGAAAACTCCCATATGATATTGAAGAGCGTCCTATTAATTTAGTCACATCTTCATCTCTTATTCCATATCTCATTGCTGGAGAACATCCCAGCTCTAGCCAAGAAGCTGACACTCTAAGAAGACAGATTGAGGAAAACAGCATCAGTTCGCAAGAAAGACCATTGGCAGTAGCCATCAATGAATATCGTGATAGCCAAAAATATTACTGCATAAGAACCGTCGAGCAACAGTCAGAGGTCTACAATGATAATATTTTAGACTGTACTGTCACGTTTGTTGTTGATAAATCAATATGTGTACTCGGAATACAAGTACCATCGCAGATTTTAAACATGGTACACATGGTTATTCAAATTTGATTGTCTTTGAATAAATTTTACAAAAAGGGTTTAAATTTTCAGGCTCATGACACTCAACCACCCAAGTCATCATACACAGAAATATTATATGCTCACCTACTTGATTCTTTTGGTACTCGCTTGACGTACACTCATTTCAGCACAAAAGTTGAAGTTCAAGAGTTAATAGAAGTTACTTTCAATCGGCCCATTATGGTTCAAAAAAATAAAGTAATTATTTTTTATGTCGTAGAAACTTTGACGGTTGAGTTGAAATATTTTATTGAAAACAATTTATTTATTTTTTTTTTTTCCAGCTGTACAAAATTGGTGTTGTATTCAACAGAGATGGCTGGTATCCACTGGCAAATTGTAGCCAAAGTATAATCTGTGATAGCGTCCTGTTCCGCTTTGGGACTGGCAATTCAAATGACACAAATCGAGATGGTTTAATAAGATCCATTGTTTTTACATATCGTTAAGTATCAATGAAATTTGGTTTTTTATTTTAGGTTTGTAATATGAAAAGAAAAAAAAAATTGTCAATTTTCTTTAACAAACTATAAAATTTTTTTTTTTTTTTTTTTTTTTTTTTTTTTTTTTTTTTTTTTACGTCACTACTGACAGCATCAATGTCCAATATTAACGATAATCTTGAAATTTTATATTAATTTGATTTATTATTTTGTAATTTTTTTTTCCCCTGAATAGTAACTTGTTTTTTTACTTGATAATTTAAGTGCCCGTTTATTGTGCAATGATATATATAACTAATATTTAATATAAAAGATTTATTTAAAAATTATCATCTTTATGAATAAAAAATATGTACAATACTCATTGCTTGAACTTGCTTGAATTTTTCATTGGCCAAATAAAAATAATTATTCTTTCTCTTTTAGTATAATGTCTATAAGATGGGCTTGCTGGAGTTGCGCGTTGATTTATCCTCGGTATTTAAAAAAACCACCAAGAAAAACAATGTAAGTTGAAAATTTTAATTTAGAAATTAAATTTGGACGTATTGAAATAAATTGACGGTTAATTAAAATACTCATGGATGAAATTCTTACTTCAACAAATTTATAGTTTTGTAAAAAATAATGAAATCATCATGCTGCATATAAAATTGTTAAAGTTAAAACATGTTAATATTACCTAAAAAGAAATGTCATTTGATGGGTACTAACATATTGAAAATCTTTATCGATTAAATATAATACTAAAAAAATTGTGGAAGAATTTATTAAATGAAATTTATTTATAAATATAACATAAACAACAACGCTCAAAATATTGAATAAAATATAGATACAGAAGACTGTAAAAAAAAAAATTCTAATGTCAACAATTTTACACTCTCGATAACCAATAAGGATTAGTTAAATACCTCCCAACAGTAATAGTTCTGGTCTAGTTTCCATGCTCGCACTGTCGCAGGGAAAATTGCCACTATCGAATGTATTTTGTAATTTGTTAAAAAGTTTTTTTTTCATTTAATAAAACCAATCTCAATTTTTAATAGATGCACCGCCATTGTATAAATTTATCTTACAGAATCAAGTATTTATTTTACAATCCAAAGAATGCTCACAACGAGAGATTTTTTTTGCTCGTTTACATATTTATGGATTGGTGTTGCATATAGATAATTCGCATATCACACTCGTTGTTGGCGAAAAAAAATTGTGATTGTTCAAAAATCACTTTTTATTGTTAATGATAATTTACTCATTTAATTTATTATTTGTTATTATAATACTTTAATTTATTTTTTCAATTCTTAATTTTGATTCATAGTTATAGAGGGTACTCATACACGCAAATAGTTGGAAATGCCTCTTTTTATGTTTGTCAGCTTATATGAGTCGATGCTTAACGGCAATAACATTATTTAAGTACTTGTATTTTTTTTGGGACTATATACATTTGGCTTTTTTTCCAAATAATTGTGCGTTCCGTAATGTATCACGGTAAAAGTTCACACTGCATCACTCAAGATATTTTTGTTTATCAAAGCACTATATCTGTACCACAAGATCGAGAGCTTATGGATATACGATAAATCACTGGTGAACAAATAATCGTACAATCCTGGCTCGTCTTATAGAAAACTACAATTTGTCATGCAATAATTCGTTTCAATAAACTCTGTATACCCATACGAGTGTTTATCTCTTTTTAAAATGCGTACATATATATGTATACTTATTTGTCGTCACGTAAATCGAGAGCTTTTTCCATTTTTGATTGGATTCGTGAGCACCCCCAACAAATAACTGCGTGGATTAACATCCACAACGGACTGCACGCATTCTTCATCTAATTTTTTTTTTTTTTTTTTTTTTTTTTTTTTTTTTTTTTNTAAGTATGTATGTTTTTTTTTTTTTTTTTTTTTTTTACCTTATACAGCTTTTCTAGTACAATTGCGTGTTCATGATTGTTTAGAACCGCTCCTCATTCCATACAATTCAAGAAAAAATTGAAGAAAAAAAAATTTTAACTCAATTGTCATCCTCGAACTTTACACTTCAAATATAGGACTCTTGCGAAGATCCTAACGTCATCGGTTTTATATATACATAAATGTGTGTGTTTGTTTTGTATTTCTCTCTTTACCTATGCAGCTATACATACTTGATACAATAATATGTCCTTTGAGCTATGAAAATTCAATTCCTTGCGTATATTTACGCGCAAAAACATACATCATCTGGTCGCACCCATAATCATTATGTTTTCAAAATGTTTAAACAACGTATACGTGCATCGGGACAAGGGATTTGTATCCATTTTTTTTCTCGACCACCCAAACTTTAACCGCTCGAGTTGACTTTCATTATTTTTCATAGATTTATACAACATACGTATAATTTATAATGATTTGTGGCATTTGTGTATTATTATTATTATCATCATCATCATCATCATCATCATCATCGTCGTCAACGTCATCGTTACCACTTATTTTAGCTCATGTTTTAAAATATACAATGTATAAGTATCTCACTAAAAGGTCTTAAAAAAATGATCGAGGCTCTCATCACATCATTATTATTTTGTATATTGAACAAGGGGTTGATCGGGGTCGGTGAGGTAAGGGCAGTGAAAAAGTATATTCCGAGACGAATTCAGACCGATATCTCCTGTATTTGGACCCTCTTTTTGGCGCAACCGGGTGTACCGGGTTGCCTGAGAATACCCGGACAGACAAACGAGGACGTTGGTGCTGGCGACTTTGGTGGGGGCGGGGGCTCGGGTAGATCCTCCAGACATTCCCCCGCGACGGCCATCGTCGCGTCGAGACACGGGGACGGCGTGTGGGTTCTTTGGGGACTCGGGCTAAAGTACGAGCCACGTTCGTACTCTTGGAGCTGGTGGAGCCCGAGCTCGAGCTCCTCGACGAACTTGCCCTTGCGGGGCGCGGGTGCCACGGGACTGCCGCTGTCACTGTTTGAGTCGGTCGCTCCTCCGGCCGATGCCTGCAGCACGAAGCTCGAGAGCGAGCGCTTGTTGGGCCCATGCAAGCTCGCCAATGAATCGCGCAGTACCCCGCCCGTGCAAGCGATCTCCAGCAGCTCCTCCTTCTTCTTGTCCTGCAGGATGCCCAGACTGCCGGCGGCCATGCGCTGTATCGCGAAACATTTATTAATTTTATTGGAAATACAACTTATCTCGGGCATGGGTATACGAACTTGCGTGTGTCTCACCGGGTCGATACCAGCAGCCGAGCTACCGTTTTTATCGCGCTGGTGGTAGATCCTCGCAAATATCAATATGTTGAGCAACAGGAGGAATATACCAACGGCTATTGTTACCGTAAGGGCTGCAGTATGGCTTTGGTAGTGCTTCGATGCAATCTTTTGGAGGATGTTGTCAGGCCCGGGTTTAAGGTCCAGATTACTAATAAGTGCGGGGACAGATGAATGTTAATTTTTTGTCATAGTTGTTAAAAGGTGAGCGTCATACCTCGGGATAGTGGTTGGGGGCTCGAGCGGGAAATTGCCACTGAGGTTGGTCGTGCAGTCGGTGGCGGGAACGACGGTGGCCGTGGTGCCACTTTTGCTGAACGTAGTCGCCGTGCTGGATATCGAGGGCTCGGTGGGTGAGGGCAGTGGCAGGGGTGGCGCGGGTATCGGCATCGCCATCGACTGAGGTCGGACCGCGCCCTCGTATAGACTAGGGCTCTCGGCCAAATGGTGGTGGCGCATGCTGACCTCGTAGCCCGGTCTATGTAGCTGTGGCAACTGATAAAACAGTTTGGTAACTTATTGCCGATGCTTGCTCCCTTACGATACTGATAAACATTTTAACTACCAGGTTCAGCCAGGTGCTCATTTTGTGACCGCGGTAGTGCGAGCGCATCTCCGGGCTCGGACCGGCCTCCAAGTACAGCTGAAAAATTGTACGTTATTGAGTTCTTATTTATTTATCGCACGTGCAAATGGACTTAATCAATAGGCTTGTCAAGATACAACATTCAAGGACATGAACTAATAATAAACGAGAATATTTTTATGCCGCTTAAATAACCAAATTATAAATTACATTTTGGTCCATACGTCTCAAAATACCTCGTCATACAACTAAAAATCAATTAAACACTATATAT